GCTACAATATATCAATTATGAATTATCAAGTATGAGATTAAGGGATGTTACATATAGTTAGAAATATCTATAAATTTTTCCATTTATAATTTTATTTTAATTTTTTTCGGAAAGGTTTACGCATTGGTTATCTTTATAACTGACGCAATAGAGTCTTATTGTCTCGGTTTTCTACTTAACTAAGGTAATAGCTTCTTCGATAGTTAAAATTTAAAAACGTAAAACAGTGATTACTCTTCTTCTTCTCTCTTCGACACAAGAACCGTTCTTCCCTATTCTGATCCTCGTTGCGCAAGGGGGCGAGATTTCTTTTCTACTTCTTCGTGTTGATTCTTTTCTCACGGAGAGACCGAACTTTGGGGCAGCAATGAGGGTCTCGTGCAAGCCGAAGAGGGTTTTCTCTTTCGCGTTGCTGAGAGGGAGGCTTTCTTCCTCTTCTTTGTTCTGATTTGTCTTTCTTCAAGTCGTGCATCCAACCTAGCCTAAGGTTCTTTGTCTCGCTCTGACAACCAACCTGGAGGGATTATCATGGCACGACAGAGGCGCGGTAGAGACGCGACAGAGACATGACACAGACGTGACAGAGATGCGACACAGACGCGGTAGGGGGCGCAAGGGCGCGATGGTGGTTCTTATTCTTCTTCTTCTCTCCGTTCTGATTCGCAACGAAGGAGGAAGCTTCCTTCCCTCCCATTTTTCTGATTTCGATTGGGTTGTTTTCTATTTGATTTATTCTCTGCAGAGGTGGTGGTGTTTGATTGATTCTCTGCAGGTGGTGGTGGGAATGCGTCGTCCTCGTTCTTGTAGTGATTTGGAGTTTCCATTTCGTCTTGGGGGTTGATTTTCTGGGTTTTTGATTGATTGATTGCAGGATGAGCCGTGAAGAGTGGTTTAGTTATGATTTAGGAATTCTCTTTTAGGGTTTACTGTTATTGTATTTTGATCTTGAAATTGGAATATTTGATTTGGATTTCTGGGATTTTTTGTTCTTCGCAATTGAGAAGCTTTGATGAGGGTGGTGTGAGATGGAGCGGTGAGCATTGATGGATTGCGGCTAGGGGCTACGAATTAACCTAACGAATGGTGAAAACAAAGAAAAAATACAAAAAGAAAAGGAAAATCCCCTCTACTATCTCTGTTGGATTTGAACTGAGACAAAACACACACATTTTTGCCTCTATTCAGAACCGAGACAAAATTCCTACTCTTTTTGTCTCGTCTGTATATGCCTTGGTTTCAGAACCGCTGTGTATAAGAGAAAATAACTGATGTTGTTTGTTAGTTATTATAAGTCTTGTATTTATTAAAAAATTTATGTTCATTAGTAAAAATGACTACATATTAACTATTTTTTAGAATGAATTTGAGAATTATCTATTTCAATTTTTATCACCTACTTATATATATTAACTTTAACTATATTAAATTTTATGTGCAAGTTTTAAGAACGTTTTACTTCATATTTATTCCACTAAAGTTTGTTGAAGAGAGAAAAGAAAAGTTGTAAATTAGGAAAACAACTAAAAACTTTTCTCACATCAAAATTTATTTAGTTAAAATATATATATTCTTAGCTCAACAACTTATGGTATATAAACAATTAAAGGGTTTAGATTTTAAAAGAAAATAATTTAGTCCAATTAAAATATCTTAATATCAATCCCATTAAAAATCTTATTTTTATTTATATGCCAACTTAAAAAATTAATTAGAAATATAAATAAATCTGTGCAACGCAGGAATATAAATTTCTAGTAGTTAGTTAATGGTTCCAAACACTAATTTCCAAGCTATTTATTTAATTGTTAAAGAAGTATTTGCGAAAATGGAATATTTATGTGAAATTATTATGACGGCTTAGGCAAAGTCATTTGTGAAAACTAATTGAAAATTTACAAACTTTAGCTTCTTCTTTTTTTTATTTCACGTCTCTTTTGATTCTAACTTATATACTATTAATTCTTTTTCCAAATACTTTTCTATTTGCTGAAGTCTTTAGAGAGGTAGATTTTAAGTTTCTTTGGATTCTAACTTACAATTATCACTATTTAATCAATTCCTTTTCCAAATGTTAGATTAGGTATATTATTATCTTGTTACTTTCAATCACACTTTAGTTTATTTTTTTAATATATTTGTTCTTTCTTGAGGAAGTTTAATTTTTTACTTAGCAACTATAAAAGGCTTCTCAAAAATAGATAATTCAAGCACAATCAAGTTGGGTGAAATTATTCAAAGGTCATTATAATAATTATATATATATATATATAGATAGATATATATTTGCTTCAATAATATGATTTTTTTTATCTTTTTAACATGTTATTTGTTATTATAAACATTTGTTTATTGTGATGTTATTTTTTTTTATTTAGGCTATTTTTACTCAAAAGGTGCAATCTGAATTTGATATAATGGAACAAAATTCCTTATTTAATGAAGAGAAGACGTTAGTTTTAGTTGGAAGAACAGGAAATGGTAAAAGTGCTACTGGAAATACTATTCTGGGAAAAAATGTCTTTAAATCTGGAACACGTTCTTCTAGTATGTCACGTATTTGTGAATTACAAAAAAGTACCAGAAAAGATGGAACAACTATTAATATTATTAATACTCCAGGTAATATATAGTTAGTTGTTATTCATTTTATAATTTGTATTTGATTTAAGTTAAAAAGAATGTGATTTTCTTGTTTATTTCAATATTGAATAATGCTAACAATAGTTTCTTTCTTATTAGCTAAAACTTACTCAAAAGTATGTCTCATTTTTTAATCAAAACAACTAGAAAATGAAACATGTCTAATATCACAATAAATATATTAAAAAAACTGTTGATAACATTTTTCTTCCATCTCTTCATCTTTTTTTATAAATTTATCTTAATGGAAAAATACATTTTGTATGCTAGAAGTAAAAGGTTTCTATACTTAATTTCTTAATTTCTTAATTTTATTCTCATAATTTTTTATATTTTAAAAGAAAGTTATTACTAGTCCTTTGTAAGATATGGTGATTGTTTAAATTAATTATGATGTTTTTGCTTTCAAATTAAGACATTATTGAAGTTATAGTGATTTCTTCTTCCACCATAAATATTATATATATAAACATAAATAATTTAATCTTATATAACATAACATTTTTTTAGGATTATTCGATGGAAGTGATTCAGTTGGAAAGGAAATAATCAAAAGTATTGATCTAGCTAAAGACGGAATTCATGCAATTCTTGTGGTGTTCTCTGTTAGAACACGCTTTTCTGAAGAGGAACAAGCTACTTTACGTGTTTTGAAAACTTTGTTTGGACACAAAATTGTTGATTACCTGATTATAGTCTTCACGGGAGGTGACGAACTTGAATATAATGAAGAAACATTAGATGATTATTTAGGTCAAGGATGTCCACAACCTCTTAAGGTATTTTATCATATTATCATTTAGATAAATGTAATATGATTTTTTTTCTCATAATATTCTTAGGTAATAACTCTCGTTATTATACTTAAATAGTCAAAATTAAAAAAAAAAAACACATAGGGTAATGTCTATATTAAGAAGCTTTTATTTGTAGTATTATATATTTAAATTTTATTCTAACATCTCACCATAAAAATTTTAGAGTTCTTACCCTTATCACTCTCTTTATATAGTAGACTTAAATTTCTTAATATATATATATATATATATATATATATATATA